TTTTTGGTAGCGGGGATTGAACTCGGGTCCTTGCGCTTGCAAGGCACGCCACCAAACCGCTGAGCTAAATCCTCGGCCCTCACAATTCTTAATTGTTACTGTTAAGTAGTCATTTAAGAGACATCTTTCCAGTACAAAGAAAAGCACAGCATCCACAGAGACCCAGAACAATGCAGAAGTGACAAGTGCATTATATTATAGCTTGGCTCCCCAAACTGACAGCCAGGAAGAAGGGACAACAGGATCACATGAGACCGACTCCTCTGAGGGCCACACTATGGGAACTGATCTCTGAGTGAAAAACCCGTGCAAAGCGCTTTGCTTGTGAAACACCCTGCTAAAAGCGAGCCCAAAACAAAGTCAGTGCTCTGTCCTGACACACTCAGTGACTCCTCTGAATGCAACCAAGGGGTTCGCTGAGGTAGCAGAGGAAGGAGGAGATAGACACAGACACACACACACACACACACACTGTCCAGGCCTGAGCCACCACTAAGAAACTTTGCAAGCACAGCAGCCTTTTGCCTGCAGGGCTTTTGTTATTCCAGTGTGAAATATCCAAAGATCTAAACACACAATCAAGTCATACCATGTTCTCTGCTTCAACATAAAATAAAAGAACTCATAAAAGAATTAAAATTTGTTAATCCTTTGTATCAGAAAAGAAGAGATGGATTGACTGCCAGTATGGTTTGAGCGTGTCTCCAAACTTCAGGCATCACTAACGTGATACTACAGTGTTACGGGAGGGCCTTCGAGGATCACAGGTCATGAGGATTGCTCTGCTGCACATGGAACTGAGGCCCTCTGAGAGGCTTGCTCATCCCAACACAGCAAGCTGGCCCTTCTTCTTCCACCACAGGGTGCAGCAAGAGGCCTTCACTGGACCAAAGCCCTGAGCCTCAATAAGAGACTAACATCCTCCAGAACTGTGCAAAATAAAACTTCATTCTGTACATATTATGCAGGACATCAGTCCAAGTTCACTATTTAGGATGATGAAAGCCATGAATATGAAGGGAGAGGAACTGCTCAAAGTGGCAAGGAAACACTGCTCAAGGTCCACCTGCTTTGGTCTGAACAAATTACACTGGCAGCAGACAGCCTGCCGGACCCACTCACCACGATGTCCTCAGGAAACGTGTCTCTGCTGAACGAGCCATCATCAAACATGACCTCGTAGAAGGTCTGCGACGTCACAGCCATCACCCTGCAGCTGTAGTAGCGAGTGTTCCGATGCTTCGTGATGACTGTCTGGCCCACGGAGATGGCTTTCTCACAAGCCTTAGACTTCTAGAAGCACAGCAAGTATGAGAAGAAGGGAGAGAAGGGACAGAAAATAAAATAAACATTTACTTACTTAGAAAACAATAACTGATTTGGTCAAAATTTTTCAAACATTTTAAATTTAGGATTGGAGAATAACTTCAAATTTAAAAACTGTAAGACTACGAAGAGTACAAGGCTGGGCACGAATGCGCACACCTATAATCGCTGTACTCGGGCGGCTGAGGCAAAAAGATTGCCACGAATTAGAGGCCAGCCTGGGCTACACAGAGAATACAAGGCCTGCCTGAACTTCATAGCAAGACTCTGCCACAAACAAACAAACAAACAACAACAGAATGCAAAACACAAAAACTTACATACTGTTTGATCCTTTACCCAGATTCATCTACTACTGCTTATTACTATCACTGATATTTTACACTTGCTTTATTGTTTGTGTATTCGTTGTCCTATGTATGTGTGTTTACAGAGAGGTGTGTGCGTGTGTGTGTGGTTTCTACTAAACCATTCACAAGCTACACAGATCATGGATTTATCACCTAAATTTATTTTCTAAGAACAAAAATATTCTCTGACATAACCATTACTCCAGTTCAATTATCAACTTCAGGAAAAAGAATAGACAAGCCTTTAACCAGCTACCCATGCTCCAGTCTGTACACTGATCCAATAATGACCCTTGTGATATTTCTTTCCTTTGCCATCAAGCTGCTAAGTCCAGGATCTAGATTAGAGTCAAGCATTACATCCAGTTGTCACCTCTCCTTAGATGACTCCTTTCATGTGGACCACTTCCATTGACCTTCCTTGGGTTTTACCACAGGGATACTTTGGAAAGATACAATTCTTCCTTTTTCTGCTTTCAGTGCAGCTCTTGTTTGATGTTTTCCAAGACTAGACTTAGGTTACATTCTCTTAGCCAGAATCCCATATAGTTGACCTGTGTCTTTCTCAGGATATTTCATCTGCAGATACATGATGTATGCATGCCTCTCCATGGTGATGTCAATTTTGACCTTGATCAAAGTGTGCTCCAATTTCTCCATTTAATTGCTATTTTTCTCTACACTGATGAGCAATTTGTGGGACATTTTCTCACCATGCAAATATCTTGCTCCTCATATATCCCTGTTTAGACTCCTAATTCACTGGTGAGCCTCAGAGTATTTACTGCAGGACGGTGTGTGCTGACTGCCCTGCCCCGGCACCCGCACATTTATCAGTTGCATTTGGCACTGGAGCTTTGGAATCTCCCATCTCTCTAAATCCATCTCCCCAGGACCCATGTGCCCATCCATTCACGCACCACCAGTAACAGCTCAGTACATCTTTCTCTCAGATAGTTTATCTCCTACTGCACTTTATCATGTTGGTGCTCAAACTGCCCCCGATTTGGACAACAGCTCTTCATGCAGATTTCGGTGTCATTTCTTATAAGGTAGTTCTTTGCTATTTGCCTGATGAAAAGTTCCAGGATCATCTTATTCCAGACTTAAGTTAGCCATTCCAGGAGCATGGTTTTATTTTTTTATTATGTATTTGTAATTATTACTAAGGACAGTGGTAGGTCAAGTTTTGTGTGGTCACAGGTACAGAAAGGGATAAAAGAACTTATCACTTATAAGAACTGAGTATCACTTAAGAGAACCTATAGTCCAGGTGGGCAATGAGGACCTGGAGCCAAGGACTGAGGTGAAGGATGCTTACGATTTGGGGAAAGGAGCAAGGTCCCTTCCCAACAAACACATTCCTAAGGATTTCCTACATGTAGGGTGAACCGCTAATTTACCATGTAACCAAAGGACTTTTTCTTGTCATTGTTGCTGAAAGTCATTCCCCAGTGATTGCTAGATTGTTCAAGAATCTTTCTGTGCCTTTAGGTATGTGAACATCTTGATAAAGCACGTAATGATAACCTGTAGTGATTTAAACACACTATGCTCGAAGTAGAAATCATTATTGTAGCTAAGCCACAGCACATCACATATTCTAAAATAATTACTCAGTTTCTTATTTCGTTTCCCTGCCCATTTACATACACATAACTAGCCTTTCAAACTACAAGAACAACTTAGATAAAACAGTTAATATGAGCCAGAAGCACAGCCTCCAAAATTGGGCCCATGCTGACAACTTAAGGTTGTGTAGATGACAAGCTCTAGGACGCCACTCACTCAAACTGCGTGTCACACACGGGCCCTGCGCGAGGCCAATCAGGGCTTCATCTTAATACAGAATTTCTGCAGATGTTGCTCCTCTCTATCAAAATGACAACTGCTACATTTTAGTATATTAGTTCTTCTGTGTACATTTTATTAAAATTGGAATTCACCTCAAAGGAGATAATGCAGTTTAGGTTTGAATTCTAAACTCTGGTTCTTACTAGCTGTGTGACCTTGGGGATATCACTTAATTTATATTGGCCCCAAGTTGGCCACCCCTGGAAGAGATAACACATTAAAGGTTTGCTTAAAATAGGATGAAGTACATAAAATATCTAGACCCATGGGAGGTGGGTTCTCAGATGTTCCCCAGCTTCATTTCAGGAAGTGGAGAACACACTTGGTTTATTTACCACCACCCTTCCTGTATACCTCAGCAGCAGCCAGGTGTCCCTGGGACTCTCCCTGACCCTGACTACCACTACCTGCTCAACCCAGCCCCTACTCAGGCAACCTTTCTTCACTTCACATACTCCAGCAGCCTCTAACTCGCCAAACTTGTGTGCTGGCTATGGTCCCTAGGAAGGAAAGCGTACGTGGTCTCCTCTCTCAGCCCCAGAGCTCCCAGTGCCTTTGTTTCCAACTCTCTTAAGGCTCTGGCCACACAACTTTTCACTTATTGCTCCTCTTTTAACAAGGTAAAACCATTAAGTTAGAGCCAAAGCTTTTTATCTTCCCCTCCAGGCTCTGTAGGGGATTAAACCCAAGGCGTAGTGTATGCAAGCGCTGTGTTGCTGAGCTACATACATCCCACCCTTTTAAAAAATTTTTATTTTGTGACACAGTCTCCCTGAGTTACCCGAGCTGGCCTCTGATTGGGATCCTCCTGCATCAGTCTCCTAAGCAGCTGGCTTTACAGGCATACCCATTTCCGCCTGGCCAAAGCCTGTCTTTCCATCAGCAGCACTCAGCACGGTGTCTGTAACACTGCCGGTACCCGCCGATCGATGGGTGAAGAATGGCATGGATAGATGAGTGAGGAAGTGGGCATGGGTACTGATAACATTTTCTAAATAGAAGAGGATTGATTCCACTCCTTCACTGTCCACAAAAAGGCACACAAAAGCAGGGGAGTTTAAAAAAATGCTCTTGGGGTGGGGCATGGGTGTGCATGTAGGTGACGCAAGAAATAAAAATGGTCTGCATGCGGTAAGTTCACAGGATCTGGGAAGTAGAAGAAGCCAATCAGGAAGAACGAAGGTGAGACTGGCTTTGTAAGAAAAAGGCTAAGGCCAGATCCCAACTATTTTCTTCTTGCTTAGGACATGAAATTTATGCTGACTGGTTGGTTAGAAAGATGGCCAGCACACAAATTAAATATACAACCTTCATCTAAATAAAAATTCTCCTAAACTTCAAGCATGACCATTCCAGGAAACATACTAAAGAAAACAGATCCTTTCATAATGCTATTTTGATAGGATTTGTGTGATTTATTCTTGCAGGAAAAATTTATTGAAAAGCATACTCCATAACCGATTATATACATCTTCAAAACTATTTCCTGTCAGAAAATCCTAAGAATCTATTGATGTTAAGAATGTCATTTCTGATCTGAGAAGTCAGACATTACGCGAGGAGCTCCATCAGGTAAGAGAAATGGCCATGGTATTTTACAGGTGAGCGTGCAGGCTAAGGCTGCAAAAGTCCCATTTTATTTAACATGAACTAAGCAGAAATGAACAGACAGTGCTCTCCTCTGCCTTGGTATCATCCACCAGGAGAATTAAGGAGAGAGGGTGGTCAAAGGAGAGTAACCCTAACCAGGAAGGACGACTTGCAGAATGCCGGCCATGCTGAAGAGCTTACACTTCCTCCTTTTTCCTTTATAACCTTCACTGATTGAATACTTACTTCCTCTGCTTTAGATAGCCCCTGAGGTACTCCCCATGTAAGAAATGATTTAATTTCTCCAATATGCACACACAACTTGGATCTGTAGTATAATTAATGAGGAAGATAAACAGTGTCTAACTGTATATGCATATATTCTGTGGGGATTTGTAAAAATGCCTACCTAGGGGCTGGGGATTTAGCTCACTGGTTTCGCTGCCTGCCTCACAAGCACGAGGTACTGAGTTTGATCCCCGGTACCCCCCCACAAAATAAAAAAATTGGAAATTAAAATAATTATCCCTTTAAAAAGATGCCTACAAAGTTCCCTCCTCCCTGTTATCTTCTGCAATGTGATTCTGCAGTCCTATCAAGGGCTGGAGTCTAGTTCTCATCCTCTGAATCTGTGCTAGACTGTGGTTTAGCTTGTTTTAGCCAAAAGACTACAGCAGAAGAAATGGTATACCAATTCAAAATCTTGTGTTCAAGAGGCTTTGTACACTGTGCTTTCCTCTAAGGGACTTAGACCCTGCCATGTGAACAAACCCAAATTATCTTGCCAGCAGAAGGGAGATTACAATGTCCACAGCAGGGGCCCCACACATGTGAGAGAACCCAGCCAAGACCAGGCAGGCTGCTCTGCAGCAGACCACAGATGTACAAGGCAGCCGGGCCTGCAATGGCCTGGGCAGCTATGCCTAGCCCAAACTGATGACCTACAGAATGGTCAGTGAAAGTTATCACTGGTTTAAGCCACTAGTGTTAGGATGGTTTTCAAATATATGTACATGCCTAGCAAAATGGAATACAAGAAAAAACATACTATACACAGCATTCAACCTTTTAATAACAGTCTTATCATAAATGGTGATGCTATATGTATAATGGTGCTTCTATATACTGTCAATGAAAGGATGGTGTAAAATAAAACTTGTCAAAGGCATCTCA